TCTCAAATGACAGCACTCCCATATGGGAGGTTGTGGGTTCAAGCCTCAATGGAGGCGGTATGTGCTTCAATAGGTATACAAAGTAGTTATAAACAGATACTGCATTGTAACAAAGTCAATAGTATTCAAAATAAAAACTCTCAAATAACAACTTCCAGAGGCCCATACCCTGGAGTTTGACCCGTTTAGCTCAATTTTAGGTGGGTCTGGTCGTATAATTTTCCGACCTAAATCGAATAAGCCTGTCCATTTAGCCCGTAAAGGGTATCTAGGTTATACGGGTTGGCCCGTGTAACCCGTTGGCCAACCCGTATAACCTGCCACTGCTATTCCTATCCCGATCCTAAGTTTATTTAAATATTTCTAAATTTAAATGTAATTTGTATTAGAATTTAAAAATATTGTTAACCTCTCAATCAATATGAGTGTTTGATTAATTAGTTTTTTGTAACAATTTATTGTTCTAAAATGGTAAAATTCAAAAAACTGCTCAAAGTAGCTTTTTCGATTAGCTTTTTGAGAAAGTCATTTTGCATTAAATTAGCTATCAGCTAACAGCTAATTTGTAAAACATTTTTTAACAATCAGCTAATGCTATCAACTAGTTAAACCTACTAACCCAATCAGTTAACAGCTATTTACCAAACACCCTCAATATATTAACTAAGACATAATTTGAATGTCATTTTGAACTATGATATGATCCACAATAGAAGATAGATCATGATCCATGTATAATTTGCCTTCCAAGTAGTGGAGTAATAAAAGGGTGAGTGTAACAATGAGAACCAGATTGGGTCAATGCATTTTTAACAATCTAAATTGCCACCGACGTTAAGTACAAATCAATAATGCATTTTTGTATTTGAAGTTTGGAACCATCTAATCTTTTTAAGCCATTTCTGACTCTTAGATATAGCCCAACCCACCATTGAACAAAATGGATTATGGGTGTTAGGCAGCTTTCAATTTTGTGTTCTTTATAGTCCAATTCATTTGGATTTGGGTATGACTCCTCGTGTATTTGCTATGAGCCTATTACCAATAGTTATGTTGTGCATGGTGCACACGGTTGCAAAACGATGTCGTTTTGGCTAAAAATGCACGTCTCATTTAAAAAAAAAAAAAATAGTTATGATTCCCCTTAACATCATTTTTGTGAATATATAATTATGAATTTGTGGATATATAGTTATGAATTTATGGATATTTAGTTCATTCATTGTGGATATTTAGTTCTTTCATTCTGGATTTTGTGTTATTCATTCACTATGGATATATAGTTATGAATTTGTGGATATATAGTTATGAATTTGTAAATATATAATTCAAATTATGCACAAAAAAATGCTATTGCCAGGAATCGAACCTGATTTTTTTTTTTTAAATGGGACGCGCGTTTTTAGTCAAAACCACGTCATTTTTGCAACCATATGCACCATACATGGTGCACACGGTTGCACAGCATAATTTGCGGCCTATTACGCACTAAACGAAATAAATTTCATATTTTGCTATTAAAGTACCTAGACCAATTACCATGCGTACACTTTAATTTATGAACTTTATAAACAAAGGGGAAAAAAAAAAAAGTTAACCTTTTATTTTTACCCTATAAACTAGTATTGCATTATGTTGAATAAAAGTAACCCAATAGAGTTTTGGTAAGACTCCTTTCAAAAGGCAACTCTCCCAATGACGGTGTTGCATATACTTAGGTTAAATGTTCAATTTCAAAAGGGAGAAGAGCTAAATAACCCTCTAATTATTTGAGAAAATTTAATTGCATTGCCAAGGTAGAAAAAACTTCATATAAACATTTAAACTCAAAAAAAAAAATGTAATTGACTCTTTTTACCTATAAATTACATGTTAATATTGTATGCATGTTATGTTGATGTAACTTTCATGTATAATTTTATTTGTCCACATAAACGTCACATGTACTATTTTAATTTTGTATTCAAATAAAAAAAAATGCATGATGCGGTTGGGGACAACCACCATAATCGTCCAAATTAAAGGAAGACTATTTTGTAGATAGTCATGACTATGCATGATGCAGTTGGACTATCCATAATTGTCCAAGAGTGACGACACTTGTGGCTGTCCACGAAGACGGAGCACAAAGTTCTTCTCATCCTATCGCCATATATGGATGAGGACCTTCATCCTCGTTCCTCGACAAATACAAAATTATTATATCAATCAAAAATCATAATATATACAGAATGTCAACTCAACAAATTATCATTAACTTGATTTTTTTTTTTCAAATAACTTAAACGCTTATTTGAATTAAGCAAGTTGTTTGATAATACATTTTACCTTTTAATTTGAATTAGGCAAATTAAAGTTTGATGAAACCAATATACTTTACAACAACCAATTATGAAAGCACTAGACAGATTTGCTCCCACATAGGTATTGTAGGGTTAACTTAACGTATCAATAAGAGGTAATTAATATTATATTATTGTGGGCTGTGGTTATTAAATGGCTGAAAGGTGTTTATATTTTTCCGTGTTTCAGTTCCCTCGGAGTTCTTGTGCATGCTAATTCTAGCTAGGCATGTCAACTTAACACATGGATTGTTTTATGTACCAAATTAAAAGAGAATAATTATCAGCCATGTATATGCATACTCTTCCACTTGTGCAAGCTAAAGTTCATGGTGATGTAGGTAGTTTGGCACAATCTTTTTAGGTTTCAAGTTACTTTGACAAAGCTGAGATAGTAAGATTGATATAATAGTAAGTCGTGTATTATGTATAATACTTTTTATAACATGCAAAGGAGTATATAGATTTGTTTGTACATCGTCAGTGGCTCCTATTTAGATAGCCTTAAAGACAGGCCTAGCCCTGGGCAAGTGCAGGTTGGGCCCTTGTCCAGGGCCCCATGCTTGGAAGGAGCCCACCACCCTATACCATTACATGTTATATATACTATAAATTTATTGTATATATAATTATTTAGTATACATTTATTTTAATGATCTCTTAGTTGGCTGAGTTAGTAGGACAAATGGTTTTAATTTGCATGGTAAGGGATCAATTCCTCCTCACGTAGTTTTACATAAAAATTTCCCTCTCTACTATTTAGTAAATGAATTTAAGAAAAAAATTCCCTCTCTACTATTACTAAATGAACTTAAGAATTTTGTTATCTAAAGATTTGACTTGGTTGAGTTGGTAGGACTTGTAATTTGTATTCTCATGAGGGATCAAACCTTTATATACATTTTCCTACAATTTATTTATTTCTAATTTGTAGTTTTTTAAATTTAATTTGTAACTTTGTGATTTTTTTTGTCTTTCAATAATTATAGTGAGATTTTATAATATAGATTGATTTGTAATTCATATCAAATTTTGAATCTATTATTCGACTAATTTACTACTTATATTTAGAATATTTGCTATTTTGTGAACTTTATAATTAGTTATGTATATGTAATATATTTTGTGATTTAGTTATGAGAAATATTTTAAAAGATAATTTAATTTTTTTTATTAATTATCTAGTCAATGTAGTTTAGAAGTTCTATTGTGAGTCATTGCATTCAAATTAATCTAGAAAAACTTGAAAGTGATCTAACTAAAAAAAGAGTATTTATAAATATGATATCAATATATAAGATGTGTGATTTATTACATGTTTTTTATTCAATCTATTTTATCTAATTAATTATGTTTCATATTTTATTATAAATATCTTTTATCACGTTTGAATGTTTTGATCTATTGTTTTTAATAATTAAGATTTTATTCTATGCTCTTACTTGTAAGTTTTGTTTTATAAATTTTTATTAATAATTACTTTATTATTTATTATAATAATAATGTCATTGTCTATAACCAAGACTATGTGGTTTAATGGTATTCGGGTTGGACTTCCATTTGGAAGATTATGAGTTTAAGCCTCAGTGGAGGCGTTATTGGTTCTTTATAAATGTTATTTAAGTTATTTGACATTAGTATTGCTTCCTTATTTAATTTAAATTTTTATTATAAAAATATATATTAATTTCATATAGGGTCCATTTTTGTTATTATGCCCCGAGCCTAAAGAATGATAGGACCGGACATGCTTAAAAGATTTCCTTAATACAATAAAGCATAGCATGAAATACAAAATAATAGATTTGTTCATACACCAATAGCTTCTTCTTTTTTTTTTTCATAGACATTTAGTATCTTCACCACAATATGTGAGATTAATTTAGACTCGACCCGAGTCACATGCAGAATTCGACTCTTATTCAAGTGAAAGCCTGGCGCACACTTTACAAGGTTTAAACCTCTGATTTTACAGTTACATTAACAGTTCGCTTACTAACTACTCTAAGCTACTAACAACATGTTTGAAGAAAATTAACTTATTCCTGAGAACTCATCATAAATATCTTAATACCATGGGAGGGGCCAGTAATAGCTGTTCCCCTTCCAAGAACATTGTTCTTGAAAATAAAAATTACTCGTATTAACAAACAAAGAAATAAATCTTTTTTAGGAAACGCTACTCCATTCCAAACTTATTCCGCAAATAACAAAGCTTCTAGAGTTGTTTTTCGTGTTTGGCAACGTAGTGGCTGGTAGTTTGTTTGATGGTTAGTTTGAACTGTGAAGCATGCAAATTAAAGGCCAAGTACGTAACCTAAGTCTCTGTTTCCTAGTAAGTAGGTAGCAGCTATCCAGTGAACCACAGTTACACACGTTGTTTTGAAACTTCCTACCACCCATCCTAACTAACTCAGCTCTTACGCTACAAAAATCTCTTCTTCTTTTTTTAACATCATAATAATAATAATAATAATAATAATAATAATAATAATAATAATAATAATAATGCACACGAAATCCACAAATAATTAATAAAACATATCATATATTATAATAATAATAAAGTAATGCACACGAAATAGTAATGCACACGAAAGTAATAACTAAAATATAGTAGAATTATTTCACTCTATAAAGGGGGACCAAGCAAAGGTGGCATGAATTATTCCACATTTCCACACACAAATTAAACTAGAATTGTAAAGGAAATAATTCGATCTCCTCCGATCTGATACTCTTCTTCTCCATCTTCCTAAAACAAATTAGTAAAAAAAAATGGAGGTGGAGAGAGTGCAAGCCGTGGCGAATTCCCTATCAAAGATGACGGCGGACACTATCCCGGCGGAGTACATCCGGTCGGAGAAGGAGCAGCCGGCGGCGACGACCCTCCAGGGCGTGGTTCTTGAAGTGCCGGTGATCGACATGAGCGATCCGGAGGAGGAGAAGGTGGTGGAGATGATAGCGGAGGCGAGCAGAGGGTGGGGGATCTTTCAGGTGGTGAACCACGGCATACCCGACGAGGTGATCCGGGAGTTGCAGAGGGTGGGGAAGGAGTTTTTCGAGCTCCCTCAGGCGGAGAAGGAGGCGGTGGCTAAGGACCCCGCCGGCGGGAGCATTGAGGGGTATGGGACCAGTTTGCAAAAAGATGTGGATGGGAAGAGGGGTTGGGTTGACCACTTGTTTCATAGGATTTGGCCACCTTCTGCGGTTAACTACAAATTCTGGCCTAAAAACCCTCCTTCTTATAGGTATATACATATATTCTTATTTCATCCATGCATGCTTTTACCTATTTTTACATGGTACAAACGTTTGTGTTGTGTGGTGGCAAAAATTGACATTATATTGTAGGGAAGCAAATGAGGAGTACGCGAAGAAACTACTTGAAGTGGGGGATAGACTGTTTAGGAGCTTATCCATCGGTCTTGGCCTCGAGGCTCATGAGTTAAAGGAAGCGGCAGGAGGTGAAGATATAATTCACTTGCTGAAAATCAACTATTACCCGCCATGTCCTCGACCAGATTTGGCCTTGGGAGTGGTGGCCCACACCGACATGTCAGCAATCACCATTCTTGTACCCAACGAGGTCCAAGGGCTCCAAGTTTTCAAGGACGAGCATTGGTACGATGTTAAGTATATTCCAAATGCCCTCATCATCCATATCGGTGACCAAATTGAGGTACTCTGCATGTCCTTCCGCTAGTTGCATTGTATGCACTAGAATATTACATATATGTGTAGTAGTTTTTAAAGTTTATTACAAATATTTGGAAAATTTTAAACATATAGTTTATGGTTTGGGGATTGTACTTAAGTGTATGGTATTACCAACAAAGTAGAAAGTAAAAGTTACAAACTTTATTTGAACATGAAATTGATGAAGTTGTGTTTTATAATTTTTGCAGATTTTGAGTAATGGGAAGTATAAAAGTGTGTACCACAGGACAACAGTGGACAAGGAAAAGACAAGAATATCCTGGCCTGTCTTCTTGGAGCCACCACCTGAATTTGAAGTTGGGCCCATTCCAAAGCTTATTGATGAGAATAATCCACCAAAACATAAGACCAAAAAGTACAAGGATTATGCTTATTGCAAGCTCAACAAGCTTCCTCAGTAATGAATTGAAGTCCCTCAGCTCCTTATTATATTTCATTTGTCTAATAAAACACTGGCCTTGTTTGTATTCCATTCCTTGATAAACTTATACTAAATATGCTCTTTTTTATTTTAATGGTTGAATTATTGCGGCCCTTTGCTATTATTTTTTTGAAATCAAAGCAGAAAGTTCCACTAATGACTTAATAAATCAGAAATATAAGCAAGTGGGATAATAGTCCACACTCCGCAAGTGGGATAACAGTCCACACTCCTGAGACAGACATAGAACTGGTTGCCCGAGCTAACTCATGAGCCACACATTAAAACTCCCAATGTCACTATAGCAATCGACAGACAATAATCAGCATTACAAGACTCTAGAATAATGTTACTATGGTTTTGCTCTTTTAGCCATGCCAAGGCTTCCTTGGCTGCAAGAGCCTCAGCCACGAAAGGATCACTTTCGCCGTCTAGCCGACTACTCTTCTTATAAGCTGTCTATTGACCTTTTGGCATCAGTGTTGCTTTCTAAAAAGTTAAGTCTCAAGTTTGAGACCAGAAATATGTGGAATTAACATTATTTGAGAATCGAGATGAGAAGTATACTTCCTTGACAATAATTCCAATCCCATATGGTCACATCATTTGCAGTTTGCAGTCTAACTCACTCAAAACCCCACCCAGCAAATGAAGAACACCAAACACAAGCATTTGGAATCCATTATTCTTCCATAATATTTAGCATGAATGTAGATTACAAGGAGTAGGATATGGCGTGGAATCAATAAAGGAACACCACAAATTCAGTAAACTGCACTTCAGTTAGCCGTTCTACTACTTACCTACCTACCTACCTCTATTATCTTGTGTAATTTCTACAAATAATCATCTATCATCTACTTATATCCCTTTGTCCACACTGGTACAGAGTACACTAGAGTCCCAAATATGAAAGATATAAGTATTGTAGCTGAGGCATATGCATATGCCCTCCATGGGTATTTGCTCTCTCTCATGGCATGAAATTCAGCAACAAAGGTAGACACAGTACTAAGACAACCCAGCAGCCCAAACTGAATTCCCGCCACAACCGTATCACAATCCTTGGTTTTCACCTGCATCACACAACACACCTCGAAAGTGAATTCAAGTTCACGTGTTAATTCAAATGGAAGGGGTTTGAGTCGCTCGTTTAAGAATGATAAGAGTGTGTCTGTGTGTGCAACATTTGAAGTTTACCGCTTTCTTCAAGGTTGCTAGTGCTGCCATGACACAGGCTGCAGAGACATTGGCAATCAAGGTTCCAAAGGGTACCCATTTCAACAACCCAGATTTCCCCAAACCACGCCCATTTAACCGTGCTAAGAACCATCTGATCCAGACACCAAATGGTCCAACGAGACAAGCCAGCCACAGCTGGGCTTTAATGTTGCCTCTTTTGAATTCATGTGCCTCCAGTGCTATACATGTACTCCATAGAGCACCAAGAATAAGTAGCAATGCTACTGAAACTACCAAACGGCGTTTGAAACTGTTCGTCTTCCAAGAGCTTTCAGAGCTGGAATTTTTACTCGTAGCTGTTTTTCTAACAATCCATCGAACACCCTTTGCAGTCTCAATTCCAAAAATAATGGAGTAGGCTACAAGAAACAAGCCTGCAAGAATCACAAGCTTCATCAACCATAGCAGAAACTAAATTAAAGAAGATATATGGTTGTCAATGTTGACTTGATCTTATAACTGAATAAAGAAGAGAAGCTAGTAGATGCAGCAATGTCAACACAACTCAACTTTGTTCAAAAAATAATAATTCTATACCTATAATAATGCCAAGTACTGCAAAAACCCATCGACCTTCAATGCTGAGTTCAAGCATCTTCTGATTCCAACCACTAAAAGTAGTCAGGCTTCCCAGAAAACCAGTTGTCAATCCCATGGCCAACTGATCTGAAATTTTGGAAATCTCTCCTTTGAAACCCACCCCAAACCAACCCATTAAAAATGAACCAACCTATGGAATTGACAAAGACATAAATGAGAACACATGAAACAAACAAAAGAGCAAAGAAGTTATCATATTATCAATCGAATAGTAAAACATTGTCTTACGTCTAGACCCTGATTCCAAGTTCAAAGTAAACTATGTATGCAATTTCAGTTAATGAAGATTCTCTACTCTTTTTTTTTGTCTATGCATAAAGATACCAACATACACTTCCTATTCATGCAAGTGATTTGTTTATATTAAGCAATAAATTAGTACATAATATGATTTCCAAAGGATACGTTAGCGTAGAGGTTACCATATTAGAAGGAAGGTCAAGATACATATAGCTTTGATCACTTGTGGCACCAACATTTCCTGGTCCAAACAATTTTTGAAGACCATACCTTAGTAAAACCTGCAGATAATATGTAACTGGAATGGATGACTTCTGGAGTGTACACAATAAATAACCAACACAGAGACCGAGTAAGCAAATTCATCAAACAGACCACCATTAAAGCTAGAAATTCTGGATGTACGAATGTAATATACCCACCTGGACTACATACAAATAGAAAATTAGAACAGTAAAGTTCTCAAGAAAATGTTGTGTATTCTAATGCCTGGAAGACATAAACTGATTAATCCTACAATTCTTGCATCTTTGATAGACTACTAAACCAAGTTCTTCTCCAAACAGGATTATGCAATGAAAATTCTAACAAGTAACCTATTATGTTACTGAACCACTTTATATTTGGAAAGGATAAATAAATTAAGCCTTCCTACATAGTGTCCTATAGTTTCTAATAATAGACTATATCAGATTTAATAAATTACTTATCCAAAAAATATTTAATAATCATTTAATTAGAGTGAAATTATTATAAATCGCAAGACAACAGTTTTCACAGGGCAACAGACTTTTGGACCTATTGGAAGTAGCAATGTTGCTGTTCAAAGTTGGCAAGGAACAGAGCAGCTACATGATGAGGGTGGACGATTGCAGCAGTATACAAAACAAAATAATGATTCCATAGAATGGGAAAAAATGCAGTTTTAAATAAACATATTAACAAGGTCAATTATGTAGGGGTTTACCCCTAATATTCCAAAAACAGCGAGAAACAAAAGGCTTGAAAAATATTCCAACCACCATGGCACCTCCTTTTCAGAATCCTGCATGCAAATCACACTTCTTCAGAACAACTAAACGGACATGCAGTTTCATAAAGTTATCTTTAATCAATCCAACTAATTACAAGAACGGGTGTGTTTAAAAACAAAAAGAAAAGGTAACAACTCACATTCATTTTGTCTCCAGATTTTATGAATGCATCATTAGATACAGGTGATACAATATCCAGAATAGATGGTGATACAGGAGAAACATTATTATTAGAAACTGGATCATGGGAGCAGATACCTTCCTCTGCAATGGGCACAACCATTCCACTTTCTGCAGCACTTTCAGCAGATAAAACTAGCCTACCACTCCCACTGTACCTATTGCTGCAAAGTGCCCTATCCCCAATATCTCCTGCTTCTGATACTGATTCGCTTCCATCGTCATTTTCCAGCTGTGGTGAAAAAGAAAATGATAAGGTACGAGAATTCCTCCGCATTGAACAGGAACTGCTAGTCCGTGCAAAAGATCCACTTCTTCTAAGCTCTGATTCATTATCCCCTTGGTCCATGGTTGCCTTTCTCAAGCAACTTGATCTTCAGTTGCTGCAGTTGAAAATTTACTGCAGCTTCAATCAACAAAATGTACATATGCATCATGAACAGTGCACAGAAAGTTGGTAACTTATTCTAATGCAGTAATACTGTAGATGTTCAATATCATATACTCTTTTGGCTCATTTTCTTTATCTAATTTAATTAAAATTAAAAATTTTATTGATACAAAAAAGTTAAATTAGCAAAAAGAAGAACATAACAGACAAAAGTGAAATAAAAGAGAATAGTGTAGAAAAATTTGTTCCCTTCAAAGCTGAGGTGTCCATATATGTTCAAAATGTTTGTATTATTTTAGCATTAAGAACTAAAGAGTGGCCCTGTGAAGTTGAAAGTGGGCCTTCTAAGCAAAGTGCCAAACTAAAAGATTTGTGATGGAAAGAAAACTGTGTACCCCACTAACAAAGCATTTCAGCAAATCGGAGAAAACTCAAAAGTTCAGAAAGCATAATAGATTTCTAAAGCAAAAGTTGCAGCAGTTAAAAGAGAGATTAGCTCCCAGGATTCACATCAGAACCAACCACATGATTCTCTATTGTTTAGTTAACTTGGAAACTAATAAATTTAATGCACTTTACGAGAAAAAGGACAAAGAAAAGCTGATAGATACCGGAGTATAGAAAGAGAGAGACGAGAAAGGGACAACCGCTTACAATAAATATGTATGTCTGTAGTTAAATTCGAGTATCTGAAAGCACCTTCGGTGGTACTTTCTCTCAGCTGGGGGAGATACTCCGGCTGGATCGAAGATTATGAATTATCGCGAGAGTGGGAGATCTAGAGGTTTGGGATTCGTGAGTTTCGAAGATTAGCTAGCAATCCATGAGATGAGAGATGCGATCGAGGGGATGAACGGAGAGAGCATAGAGGGGCGTAAGATCACCGTCAATGAGGCTCAGTATGGCAGAAGCTGTTGCAGTGTTGCGGCGGATCCGGCGGTGGACGACGTGAAGGAAGGAGGCGGTGATAATGTGGTATTTTTCTCTTTTTTCTCTTTATATAAAAATAAAAATAAAAATACCATACTAATTTCACAAAACTGAATAAGTTATAATTCAGTGAAAAAAAGATAAGTCGAGAATAAAATATGAATGGACGTGAGAGGTTTAAATGCAGCGATGGGAATGGCGACGACGCAAGAGCTTCAGCTTGTGAGCCAGCCGCCCAGCCAAGCGGAGGGCGGGAGGGAATCTTCTAACTGCAGCCGCAAAACACTCTGTTTTGGGCCCCACTGTCGAAGGTTGACAAACTTTCATTTCAAAATGTTCCATATAAATAAAATAAAAATAAAAATAAAAACAGAAATTAATTACGGGTGCAGAAGGGATAGTTATGCTGTGCATCCGTATGCACCATGCATGGTGCATACGACGACGTCGTTTTATTAAAAAACGTGCATTTCTTTTTAAAAAAAAATTCAGGTTCGATTCCCAACAACAACATTATATTGTTCATTCATTCTGGAATTTTAGTTCATAGATTATGGAATTATAGTTCATTGATTATGGAATTATAGTTCATCGATTATGGAATTGTAGTTTATCGATTCTGAAATTTTAGTTTATAGATTATGGAATTTTAGTTCATTCATTCTGGAATTTTTAGTTCATAGATTAGATTCTGAAATTATAGTTCATCGATTATGGAATTTTAGTTCATATGTTGTTGTTGGGAATCGAACCTGATTTTTTTTTTAAGGGGAGACGCGCGTTTTATTAAAACGACGTCGTTTTTGTATCCGTATGCACCATATCCGTATGCACCATGCATGGTGCATACGGATGCACAGCATAATTTGCCGTGCAGAAGCGGGCCGTGTGTATCCAGATCCAGGAAGATAACCCCCAGGGCCCAGGGCCCAGCCAATACGAATCAAAATCATAACGACGTTAATTTTGGGCCTCAGTTGTTCTCCCACTGTCATGATGGGCTTGTAATTTGTAATATTTACAAAATAAATACTCTGTACTATCATAATAAAGTCATGACGTTAGATATACATTTTTAAATATGAATAAGGTTCAAATTGGCCACTGAACGTAATCTGAAAATGAAATTAGGCCACTGAACGAAAAAAAAAGTGTAATTAGGTCACTGAACACTGTAAAACGTGCAATTAGGCCATTGAACTCTCCAAACGTATGCAATTTCACCGGATAGCAGGTTACCATCAATTTTAGCAGGTTACCTGCTTACTTGGCAGCTGAGTTGGCATTTTTAATAATTTTTAAAGAATTTTTAATAAATTTTAATAATTAATTTTAATAATAAATTTAAAAAATAAAAAATAAATAAATAAATAACAAAAAACAGTGGTTTTTATTTTTTATATATAAAAAATTATTATTAAAATTTATTAAAAATTATTAAAAAATTATTAAAAATGTCAACTCAGCTGCCACGTAAGCAGATAATCTGCTAAAATTGAGGGTAACCTGGTACCAGGTGAAATTGCACATTTTTTGTGTGTTCAGTGGCCTAATTGCACTTTTTCTCCGTTCAGTGGCCTAATTACATTTTCGTATTACGTTTAGTGGCCAATTTGAACCTTATTCCTTTTAAATATAATAGAGAGAATTATCACAAAATAAACAAATTTAAAATGAAACCCACACTATCAAATTTGCATTTTTTTTTTTTTTTTTGAAATGAAGCACCGAAATTGTTATTAGGTATTTGGAAACTAACAACGTAGGCTGATCCACGCATGCCCATGCTTCTTCTATATATATATATATATATATATATATATATATATATATATATATATAGAGGAGTGATCACATGTGGCCATGTTGTTAGGTGTGGTCATATGGTCAATTATAGACCATTAGATTAGATAGATCTAATGAATCATATTAATCAAGATTTTTTCCAGTATTTTCGCGCACATTCTACTACCCAGCGAACTATAAGGGTAAACTTGTCATAAAACACCGGAATAAGGAAAATCACATTGTTGTGTGTTTTATTACACTATTGGTGCATGTTGTCAACACTGTTGGTGTATTCTGGAACCCGATCGCTATAAATGGCCACTGTAATTAGCATAACACGGGAATACACCATTGGTGTGTTTCACTGTGGTGTGTTTTATTGCACTATTGGTGTATGTTGTCAACACTATTGGTGTATTCTGGAACCCGCCCGCTATAAATGGTCACTGTAATTACCATAACACCCCCACTTACTAAAACGCGCGAAAATTCTCAGAATTACCACTGCCTTTAGATTAAACTGATTCAACGACACAGATACAACCACACGACCACACCTAATGACATGACCACATATGAGCGTTTTTCTATATATATATATATATATATATATATATATATATATATATATATATATATATATATATATATCGCTCAACTTCAATTCTAATAATTAAACAAGTCACGGATGATGTCTAACGATGGATGAGGCAACGAGTAGTCCAAATCAACCTCCCAACAATTTTGTTCATATGAAATCCCACCCTTTAAATCCTAAGAGATACAAAACGTTGCTGTCGAACTCCCATTCCTTTGTCTCTGGGCCCTAGAATGTAGATCTACATAGAACTGCTAAAGTTTACTACAAAATTTGCGAGTTAACTCATTTGACTCGATCAAACACGTTAAAATCTTACCTCAATAACAGGACGTTTGATTGGGAGGAGGAATTAGTGTAAAGAATTGAATTGTAATTTGGTAAGAAAAAGAATAAGATGGAATAAAGTAGTAATTTAAATTACATTATTTTTTTTAAAAGCTAAATTACATTATTTGATAGAGAGAAATTGAATTATTAAGGATGGAAATGAAATAAGTGATATAAAGATTAAAATGTCCTTATGTAATAATAATCATCATTATCATCATTAATGGCAAAAAGGTCACTTTTTCTTTTCATTTCTCTCCAACCAAATAATGTATTTTTCACCTATGTTGAATTTCATTACAAATGAATTACAATTCATACCAACTAAACACTCCATAATAGTATAGGATTCGAGTTTTGCTAAAAAGAATATTAGAATAAGGTTCAAATTAGCCACTGAACGTAACTTGAGAATGCAATTAAGTCATTGAACAAAAAAAAAATACAATTAAGTCACTAAACACTCCAAATGTATGCAATTTCATCTAATAGCAGATTACCCTTCATTTCATAAAGTTGCATGCTTGTGTGGAAGGTGAGTTAACATTTTAAATAATTTTTAATAATAAACTTTAAAAATAAAAATAAAAAATAAAAAGCGTCAGTGGTTGCTTCTCTTCATCTCCAACCAGAGACGAAGGAGGAGGGGGAGGGGCCACCCCAACGTTTTATTTTTATATTTTTATTTTTAAATTTTATTATTAAAAATTATTATTAAAATGCCAACTCGCCATCCACGTAAACAGGCAACTTGACGAAATAAATGGTAACCTGTTATCAGGTGAAATTGCATATATTTAGGATGTTCAGTGGCCTAATTGTACTTTTATTTTCATTCAGTGGTCAATTTATACCTTATTCCAAAAAAATTCCATGAGATAGTCGTGCATAGGCAGTATGTATGAAAACCTAAGTACTAACGAGGGAGACGGATACCTAATAGGCTAATAAGATCACGAAGAAAAAAAAATTGCCCGCATGAATAGCTTAATTGATCGTCCAGGACATGATGTAGGGATGTTTGACGTGGACAATTCCAACTTTTGTCACAAGATTTTTTTTTTTTTTAAATACTAGAGAGTAATAAATATAATTTTAATATAATTACAAATTTAATAAGAACAGAATACTAGGTACTAAAACCCTCTATAAATTACAACGAAACATGGCAAAACAGCCTTAGGATTAAACACATACAATTCTTCCAAATCACCATAACCTCCGGCGCCGGCGCCGGCGCCTCCAGTCACCGAGTCATACTCCTCCAAACTCCCCTGCAAGCTCTTCTTCACCCGCCCCGCGATCACCCGGCAAACCAACATCGCCCTCTTCTCCTCATCCGCCGCAGCACCACTACTAACATGCGCCTTCCAACTCGTCGCCGTCGTCAGAATACCTTTTCCGGCGATATCTCCGGCGCCCTTGAACCCGTTCTTGATGATCCCACACACGTTGCAACTGGGGATTGAATTGCAGAGATTGGAAGAGCCATTTAAGCCCAGAGAACACATAAAGGTGGTGGAATGGAACCTCAGGAGCTCATTCCCATCTGCCACGCAACGTGGGTGCTTTTTGGGAAGCTTGTTGGCTTTTGCTTTAATGGCGTCCCTGTACTCCTCAAACCTCGAGATTACTTTGGGTGTGTTGTGGACTTTAAGGATTCTGTCGATAGTGCAGATTGGGTTGTGTTTCTTGAGCCAGCTGGATTGGAATATGATCTCCACAACGTTCCTGCTCGTGTCTTCTACTCCCAGTTCTGACACTGTCATTCCAGATAATTAAAGCCATTGAAACTAACACTCACCTCCAAGCAATCAAGATAACATTTTGGCTAGAAATTTGAGAAAAAAAGAAACAAAAAGCTACTCTTGTAGTTGTTGAGCATATAGTCATGCAATCCAACTATCAGCTTAGGTTTTTACTGGGTACATGTTTCAATTTGGTATCAAGTCAGACAAAATGTTATGGGTTTGTAGCGACTACGGTCTACGTGTTGCTTGGAGCCCACCGCACAGGTGAGGGGCGTGTTGAGCATATAACCATTAATGTGCCATCCACTATCAACTTAGGCTTTAGCCCAGAATGAAAAAGAGAAAAGATTAATTACCAGCATGTCTGACAGCCTGATGGAGCTCCAAGGTGTCAGGTTTCATGAAGATCTGACCACAAACAGGGCAAGAACAGACGGTGGTTCTGAGAGAAGGGTCTCTGGTGAGGCCAAGAACAGGGTCAACCACCATCCTGCACTCATAGCACCCAGACAGCTTTCTGAAGGGCATGCCTCTGAGAGATCCAACAATGGAGGAAGGGGAGGTTGGGGAAGAAGAAGAAGAATTAGAAGGGTGTTGAGGCCCCATCTTCTTGCGCACCT